TAGTATATATATATATATATAATACTACAATGTGTAGATATAGCATGCACGGAGTGAAATACTGGAAACTGAAGCAGATGCAGATGCAGTGCAATGCCAAATTTAAGACGTGCAATGTTACATTTTAAAATGAAGTGTCACATCTGGGGTGAGACCGCAAGCATGCAAACAAAGCACTTTTCACAAGAGAGAGAGAGAGAGAGAGAGACACAGAACCAATGCTACATATAAGCATTGATCAAACATACTCACACAAAATACTGCATTTTTCTGTTTTGTTACAGAAGTTGACATATATACATTTGAGCTGCAAAACAAATACAAACATATATAACATACTTGAAAGTGATGCTGACTAAATCCCCTTATGCAATCTAAAATTTAGGGATTTCAGTCTGAGAAGCTGACAGTTTTGTAAATTCTAAAATAAATGTGGTGGCAATTTCAGTAGAATAAAGAGCAAAGTTAACAGAGAGATGGTATCACAACAGATCTCATATACCTGAGCAAAGTGAAGGAACATTAGTCCCTGTTAGATGGGTAACACATTATCCAACATTGAGTACAAAAACAATATTTGGGTGGTGGGGAGCACTTCAGGTCCTCTCATCCTGTCCTGCACTTGTACATCCAGTGAAGTGATGGTGCTTGCACAAGTGTATCATGCAAACATAGTCAAGAATACACTCACTCTCAAAAGACAAGGATTAAGACAGAAATGACAGCAACCTATTAACGGTCATAAAAGCTGATGGTGCATAATTGTAACAACAAGTTATAATCCATAATATAAGCTCGCTTCTGAGTAAATATGATGAGCTATGGTTAAAAAACAAGGGAAAATCCAAATAAATGCTTTTCTCATATATTTCCTATAAGCATTTTCCTAGTGACTGCTGGTTCTCAGTGCAATTTGTTCAGCAACACTTTTATCCTGCTCCTCTGTTTTCAGACACAAGGTTGTGATGGAAGACGGCTTCCTTATATACTCTGTGGTGGTGCTGGTGCAGCTGCGACGCCGGGCCAGCTCCGCCAGGTCCTCAGCCAGAACGCTCTCCATCACCGCACCCAGGGAATGTCTGATCTTGCTGCACAGGTCGGGGCAGCTGAACACATACAGAATGGGGTTCAGTATGCTGTTCAGGAAGCCGAGGGTCGCCGCAATCTTGAGGGCCCCGGATGCAAATGTTTGCGCAGGGTGCCCGCAGGGAGACATCACCTCCATCATGATGAACAAATGGTACGGCGCCCAGCAGAGGATGAAGCTGACCACCACGGCTATCAAAAGACGAACGAAACGAAAAGAGCGTCGGTAGCCTCTGCGTGCCAAGTGGGAATACACGGCGATGTAGCTGAGGATGATGATTACCAGAGGGATGAGGAAGGCTAGGAAGAGCTTCATGAACGCCAAGGCCTCCTTCCGCTGCCTATGTAATGCTTCCCGGTCATATGGCTCACTGGGGAGGAATACATTATAATTGTAGTAACAGAGGATCTTCCCATTTGAAAGGGGAATGGTGTCACGGAATATGTAGAAAGGGATGGTGCAGACCACAGCCAAGGCCCAAATCATCCCACATATCTTCCCCACAAGTTGGATGTTCCTGTGGTTCTGGGCCCAGACAGGTCTCAGCACCACCAGGCAGCGGTCCATAGAAATGGCCGCCAGCAGGAAGCCACTGACGAACATGTTGAGGAAGAAGGTGGAGGAGTAGATGCGGCAGAAGGTCCTGCCCAGCGTCCAGGTGTTGCCACGCGCCATGTAGAGGGTGAAGAATGGAAGGAAAGCGGTGGCAAGCAGGTCGGAGGCCGCGAGGTTCAGGATCCACACGCTGATGATGGAGCGGCGGACGTGGAAGCCCACCACCCAGAGGATGAGGAGGTTCTCCATGATGCCGATGGAAGAGACCAAGCCGTGGAGGGAAATGGCGAAAATATTCGAAGAACTCATATTAATTTGGTTTGCTTGGTTTGCTGGGTTTGTGATGTTTAAACTCTGGTGGAAAAAACAGTGTGCCATGCTGGAGGGAAAATGTCTCGATCCTTTCACTCAGGTTTTCACACTTCACACTGCAACATAGATTAGAGCATGTTTAACTAAACAAGTTTTTAAGCAGAAAAACATTTTTAAAATAAAAAAATGTACATGGAAATTGATTGAAGATTGATGCTGAAATGTCTAATATCTTTTGGTTCTGGGAGCACACTTACTGTATATTTTCTCTTCAACAGCAGGATATAGCTATTTAGGCATTTAGTTGCAGTTAAGTGCAAAATGAGCTCCAGCAGTCACATTCTAAGTTCAAATACATAACCCAGTTCTACATATACTGTGCTGCTTGTAGCTGCAACAGAACAAGAAATGCAGCAGAGGTGAGAGGAGCATGCTGCAGACAATGATCCATGCACAAACCTTTACAAATGTTTACTTTAAAGCTGTCTATCTATATACCAATGCAAATAATTAATAAAATATATACACCACATATAAAATTAACCCATTGCCTTTATAAACCTGGTCTTATCCTCTATCTTCATTGGACAACGTTACCGTGCATTTCATTTAATTTGCTTATTTATCGGACACGGACAGTGCTCATTAATCAACAGAAAAAACATTCTGAATGAGCCAGAGTTAGCAATATAATATAATTTTCATTTGTTGCACAAAACAACCTAGTAAAAAGCCAACTGAAATAAAATAAAATGACCAATCTTATATAATAAGAAATATTTATGGACAATTCATGCTCGTGATAGGGACACCCTGCAGTATGATTTTTCCTTGGACAAATCATGGGTTGATGATGGTTTATCCTTTTTAAAGTATGATTCTTTGCAGAATTTGAGAAAGTAAAGAGTTTTCTTTAATTTGTGAGATTACGGTTGATGAGACTGCTCTGCAAATCTAAAGGTTCCTTATTCTAAGAAAGAGGAATCTGTAATATTGTTTGCATTTCTTGAACTGCAGCTCCATATCTCTGCAATCTTGTTTTTCACATTTGCTACATCCTCCATTTTACCTTAATCTCACACGTATGAGTTAATGCCTCCCTGACTGATTTTATCTCTACTTGTTTGTGAGTTTATTAATAAAAGCTCACATAATGTAATGCAGATTTGTCCTGTTAAAGGCAGATATTAAATGAAATTACATAGGAGTATCATCTAAAAACACAAACTCTAAAATCTGAATTTTGTGTGTGAGTATGAGTTTGACCGACTGTGGGTTACAGTAAAATCAAGGCCAGTGACATAGTGGCATGCTCTGGCTGGAGTTCATCAGAGGGGCATTTTAATAAACACCTTTATTAGCAAATGTGAAACGATGATGCAAGCTTTGCACAAAACATGCAGCCTTTGCAACTTTGCAAAAAAATCTGCTGCGGTGTCTCAAAAACTGCCTTTTTAAAAGAGAAAATAATCAAGCAATGTACTATGTTTTCAATTTTTAAAAACTGTTAAGTGTGAAAAAAGACTGACTGACTATTCACTTTCCCTCTGTACACACATGTAGACCCACTAGAAAAGAAAAAACACTTACCTGCATGTCAGATTTGATGAGGTCTGTGTCATGTTATGTTGCTGTCTGACAGAGTGCCCTGTCCCAGCCTCATTACTTGACAAGTGGAGTAACAGGAAGTGAAACCTGTGAAAGGAAGTACAGCTTCGAGGACTCAGGCCTGTTGAAAAAAAATCTTTAGGCCTTTTCAACTTTGTTTCCAAGGAGAAATCTGGGGCTGAGAAAATGGTGGTTTGTAATTTATTGAGCTTAATGATTTATCACTTGAATAGATCCTATTTTTGTCTCACCGCTGTCTAAGTGTGTGAGAGAGAAAGGTGCAGGAATGTTGTAATGTGTGTGGCTAAATGGAAAGTACTCTCTGGAAAAGTAATTTCAGACCATTTCCAGACTGAGTAGTTCTCTTCATGAGGTCATCTCTGTGCAATGCTACTTTAAATGTAGTACAAGGCCTTCACTGTTTCTATTGTCTTTGTGTGCAGTTCAGCTCTTGAACAGCAGATAGCAGCAAACGACAATAATTTCTCAACACTTGTGTCAATCATACACGACTAAAGGTGCCAAAGAGCAACGCCCCTGAAACTACAGATCTTTGAGCCTTAACATGTAATCAAATTTTTTTTAAATGTATCAACTGAGTATTTAATGCGAGAAGTTGGCATTTTGGGAATTGCAGTCTATGGAGCCAGACTTTGCTAGTCTCTGAGGTTTTAAAGATTTAAGCATTTATGCATAGGTTTCATGTTTCAGAGGAGGAAGCTTTTTTATATACCATCTATGGCCCCCACCAGCCGAAATTATGCATTCACAGGTTTTGCTGCCACCTTTTGTTCATCCATCAGCACCATGACGTCAATGTTTCATATTATCAGCATATTTTTCTCATGTTTTGGGGGTTTCAAGACCTCAGACTTTGGTAAAGTTGAGTCATTGAAGTGAGTGAGCCACATAACCTCAGCTTGTAAGTTACTTTTTGGTATCCCACACTGATCCAGAAAAAAGATCTGGCCAGATTAGACACAAAGTGAAACACACAAATTCTTCATTATGCAACAAAAGCATTTGTTCTTTTGTCTAGACACGTGGAGACACAGAGGAAGTATAAGACAACACTGAAACAGGAAATAAATGATTTCAAGACATAATTTGTTGAAAGACGTTGATGTCTTTTCCGCGAGGAAGATACAAAATGTTTGACTTTTATATCTGTATATTTAATAAAGAAGAGAAAATCTTGGGGTCAGCTGACCTGAAGATTCTCCACCCTCATTTTTGCAAATGACATTGGAACAACTTTATTAGTATGACAGTGCAGAGCAGTGCACCTCAACACAACATACCATACAAGTCTTAATAGTGTTTCCACCCTGTTCACTTCACATCACACCGCATCGTTTGTTTAATCTTGACCACACGGCCTGACCTACTTTCTCTCAAAATAAGTCAGGGAGGTTCTATTTTCTATTTTCCATTTTAGCTTTGACTTGTTAGAGAAACAGAGAACACTAGGCCGCCTTACTGTCAAAACTCAGGAAGTATGGTTTTAAATAAGAAGAGTGTAGGTCAGTTATGTCTCACCTCGACTGAGTCAACAACTGTAACAAACATCAAAAGGACACAAATGAGTCACACGGTAGCTTCTGCTGCATGTGCAAACAGTGCTGTTACGTCTTCACACATAAGGGTGAAGCACTGAGACAAACATACAAAATGGTATTCAAAGCATGGGGACTGATGCAGATACTTGACAACATCAGACCATTAAAGTTCCTTCACTAAATGCACACAAATGAATGTACAGTGAAATATTTCATTCGGGTATTACAATCAAGCAGAAGTATTCCTTTATGTGGAATAAATGTCCCCCCTGCTACTGCTTTAAAGATAATTTTTATATTTTAAGTAATGTTTACTATAAATTCCAGCCATAATCCACGATTAGATGCCACCATCCATCCATAATCCACGATGTGTCCGCAGCCGGGATTCTGGATCTGCAACGACACAGCACTTCTGGAAAGAAGTCAAGTCAGTTACATGTATTGATGAGACATTAATGTGATGAACAGGGAGAGGAGACAAGAGAAGCTCCATGTGTCACCTGGCAATCTGGGCCTATAGTACATAATTTTCTATATCAGATAAGGGATGGAGGCCAGACGATCTCAGACCGTGGGTTAATTTTTTGTGCGATTCTGTATTTTATTTCTTCCCCCCCATCACAAAAATCGAGATTTAAAGCAGTGATGCAACAATAACAAACAATTACATGTGATTTGGCATTAAACTAAAACTGGCTTTGTGTGATATTGTAGAATTTTGATGTGATTTGCAAACACAGTGATGGAAAAGAACAGACTCTCACACTCGTCTGACTCTAAACCCTACTAAATCAGATGAGCCAATCACAAACGTCATTGGTGTCCTCTTTGCATTTTTCTTCTGCTTCTCGGAAAAATCAGTGAGTGTTTCACAGTTTTTTGTTTTATAGCCAACACATGAATATAATTTTGAGCAAAAGAGATGTTTGTAAAGACGTTATAGACTTAAATATTTTTTCTGTGCAGGTCAGGTGCCATGTGCTGATGTAAAAAAGACCTCAGGTATAATTCAGGACATTGGGTTCATAAGGGCTGAAGCTGGAATGAGCGTGACTCTGCGTTTGCCAAAATGATGCTGTAACTGTCTTTAACTGGTACCAGCAAATCTTGGGAGGTGATCTTCAACTCGTATCAACTCTAACACAGCATAAAACCGAAGCTGACATCTCCCCGGCGTATACCGACAGATTTCACGTCTTTGCACGAGGTCGAGCCGGCAGCAACCATCTCACTATCACAGACCTTCGCACATGCGAGCTGTCGTCCACCAGCCTGCCGTGGAGCAACTTCGCCCCGGGACTCTCTGAAATTGAGCTGTGCAGTGTATGCCGACTCGTGTGCAGGGGAGCAGAGTCTCTACTGGATCAAACATGCTGCATCTGAGCCTCTGAGCATGTTTTCCAGCAAAGGGCAGTGCACAAGCCCCTCAGATGAAAAGCCTTGCATGAGGAATTGTACTTTGAACCTTGCAAAGAATTCTTCGAGCTCCTCTGATGAAGGGATGTACTACTGTGTCCTGGCCTGCTGTGGAGAGATTGTATTTGGGAATGGAACAAGAGTGGAGATCGTAGGTAATAACAGCAGATGTTACTAAATACTATGATTTGAAAAAATACCTTAAAAATTTCACAAAAAAGATTTATACATCCTCTTAAAAAAATACATAGAAAGAATGTGAACTGTTTTATCTCTCTTGACTCAATGTTAGACAGTTTCACCTATTTCCCCCCACTCGTGGTTTATTGCTTGAGTGTGGCATTGGCCGTGCTCTTGAACGTGCTGCTCGTCTTGGCTTTCGTCTTGTACAAGATGAAGAGGAAGCTCTGCCCTGCCTGCTCAGGTAAACTTTTTCAGAATCGACTGGATTTTGCTGTAATGACTTGACCTGACCATTCTTGTAGTTTTATTCGCAGGAACCGTTTCTCATCCGGGATTTTCTGAAGCCACGGTAGGTCAAATAAAGATGCTTTTACAAGAATAACACATGCCAACATCTGCCAACATGTTTATTTTAAGTTATATTTTAAGCTCCGTCTTATTTTTAATGATTTACTTCTGGTACTGAATAGTTCACTCATTGTTATTTTGTCTTGAACAGAACCAAGATGAGGACACTCTCCATAATGCCGCTCTGAGTCTAAAAAGAAACAGAGAACAACGTCATCAAGAGGAAAACAGTCAGTTTGTGTTTCCTCTCGAGTGAACAAATACAGAAAGTGAACTACCAACCACCTCAGTGCAGTAGCTTCCGTCCTTGTCATTTACTTTTGCAAGAAATTTTTTAAATAATATCGAAAGAAAAGAAAATATGCATTTGTTTGCAAGGGTTGTTATGTCAAGTATGTTCTAAAGGCATCAGCATGTCCGCACACAAGAGTTATACACGAGGTACGTGAAAGTCCCCTATGATCTATTCATATCTCTCACGCTACCAGAAAGCGCAGGTTGCACATTTCAGCAGCCGACTGTCGCCGTTCACCTTTCACACCTGTGGTGAAGGTAGTGAGGTCTGCAAAGCGAAAGTTTCCATTAGTGGAAACAGAAGTCGGCAGCAGCACCTAAACACAGGAAGACCGGGCTGTGGGTCACAGCATCTGACGCTCAAGACACCTACAACAAACACCATGTCTTAAATGCAGAAAACAAGCTGTGCACGTAAAGTCTTTCTGATGATCAGCCACAATGTGTGTGTGGGGGATCTATTGCTGTCTCAGAGCTTCAGTCCTCTTATGCCTATGTCAGGAAACTCATCATAATGGCATTTCTAGTTTGGGCTATGTCAGCTTTTTGAGAAAGAGGACATTCAGTATCACATAGGTTCACAACTGCTCCGGCAGAAGAAGTGGAACTAATCCACATCAAACAGAACATACATAAACATGCATCTGCTGGCAGGGGCGGCTGGTGATAAAATACAACACAACACACAATATGACTCTCCTGTAGCCTTAATCGAAATTGTAGCCTCATTGTGACTGTGGCAACCTTCATGCCGTAAGCCTTTTTCAGAGAGATGTTTAAGGTGAAGCAATAAAATATATTACTTACACCACATCCAGTTCGTCAACTCTGTTTCTCATAAAAAGAGCGGGAGATGCCCCGGGTGTAATCTGGCCCCCATCACTTGCTGTTGAATCCGAAAATTGGGTCGGTCCAGATCAAGCTCCTTTATCCTCTTTTTTTGCTAACAGGGGTGTTTTTGTAAAGAAATCACCGGATTGACCTTAGTTTACCGGTTGGCTCGCAGCAGACATAACTCAGTGAAGCCGGACAGTCAGTGTCTGTTACTGGTGACATTCAGAATTTTCGGATCCTTCCATCGAAATAAAACACATCTTGTTTGTAATTTTGTCAAGATGAGCACTAAAAATGAAAAAACCCACATCATGAGTGTGTTTCAAGAAACAACAAACAAATTCATCAACTTTCAACATCAACCCGTTCGGCCAAACATGTTTTTTGAAGTCTCATCTCATCAGACATCTCA